TCAACAACCACATTACAGTAACACCTCAGAGTATTATCCCTGCACAGAACACATATTGTCTATACTGTGATCTATTGCACATTCTGCTCAGCAGGAGTTTTGTCAACACTTTTGTACATAGTGTTTTCATAGTTTTATTTTTTTAATGTGTGTATCTATGAATATTTATCTTTTTGAATGTTGCAGTATTTTACCCTTTTATTGCTATTTCCTGTTAATATATTTATTGTATACTGCACCAAACACCAAGCCAAATATCTTGTAAGTAAAAACCATGTGTCATGCAGTATCCCCTTGTCTTCATATTTTTATAGCTAAATAAAAACATACTGTTTGTACTACAAGTATTCATAATTTGTTTCAGTGCTCTCAACAATTTTAACTATCAACAATAAATGCACATAAATAATAAATTATAAAGAACATGGGGAAAACAACAACATGATTAACTGGACAGGGGCGAAGAGGTGAAATGCCGCCCCCTATGGAGGTGGAGCAAGTAGCACGATCTTACACATTACACCTTTAAGGCAAGGATGCTTCTGAATCAGTGCCTCAGCAACATCAGACAACTGTGCGCTTGTTGGGTTGGCAACATACTGAAAGATGCTTTTAGCCAGTTTCTCAAGAATGTCAGGAAGGCTTGTGGTAAAGTTGAGCTGAATTTGATCCTTCTCGAAAGCTTCATTTCCTGAAGCAAGCACTAGTTCTGTGACGTAAGCGAAGTAGGCCAACGCTGTGAACGCTTGGTAACATGTTCAGGTGATGAAAGAATCAGTGTATCCTGCGACCCAGAAGAGCAACTGCTGTAGGAAGGATGGATGGAGGTCACTGAAGTATAGATTGAGGCTGCTGAGCTATGGATGGAGGTCTCTGATGCACTTTCAATGGAACTATCAGTAAAGTCCCATCAGTAAAGTTCAGAGTAACTATGGGAGGTTCAACAATGTGAACCACTTTAAATGTGTCCTTGTTCCTGATGTCACTTGTCGAGGTAAGAGAAAAATATTCCTCTCCAAAATCAGCATCCTTATAATGCAAAGTAAAGTTTCCATTAGTAAAGTTGTGAGACAATGACATAAGAGAGGTAAATGGAGAATGGAGAATGAATGATGCTCATTTGACAGAGATACTGATGTAGTCTGTTATTACCTAGAATATAAACTTATATAATCTTATCAACCTCTCAAAATGCTTTACAATGCTACCCACATTCACCCATTCACACACACATTCAGACACTCGCACACCAATGTTAGGTCAGAATTCAGTGTCTGGCTCGAGGACCGGAGGATGATCCCTGGATGACCCGCTCTACCTGTGAAATCTGTGAAATATTTAGCACAGTCTTATCACCACATACTCTGCGGAGAGAATGATGGGAGTCCGTCCTGCTGCGGCCTACAGTGTGCAGTTCAACCTGCGACGCTCCTGGAAAGGAACAGCCTAGCAGCAGCTTTACAAACCCAGTCTCAAAATGACCAAAACACAAAACTGACTGTGGTGGAAACAGCAACTCTGAAGACGATGGTTTGAGGACATCCCCCTAACATGTTTGTTTACAGTGATTTTACAGGCATTGTGTGATTGTATATTAATGTGTCCTCCTGGCTTTTACTGCAGAGTGTGTTTCCAGCTCAGTCTGTGTCCTTTCCCAGGGGTTGTCTAAATAAAGGGAGGAGAGGAGTCTGCCAGCCTTCTGTGGTGATGCACAGAGTTAAACACTCAGCTGAATTTTCTGTACACACCCACATCAGGATCTCCACCCCCCAGTGCAGCGGGAACAAACAGCACAAACAGGCGGTTTATTATTGTTGGAGTGGAAACACACTGAGCTTACTCAACCAGCTGGTTAGTAGCAGTTTATCTGTTCAGGTCCTTCTTACTACAAGATTTCCTCAGTGAGACAGTGAGACAACACACAGCTGAATTATATTACAGGACTCTTGCTGACCGTGAGCCACAACTTCCCCAGTCGGGGACCTTTGTTTCTTCATCAATAATCATCAATAACCCCCCCCCCCCCTCAAATTATTTTTAAAAAATGGTCAAAATTAAATCTGACTTTTATTCTCTATGGGTCAAGCTCAAAAAACACTGAATCCTACATGTCCCATAATGCATCTCATTAGCACCCCAGCCAGAAGAGATGATCAGAGTTATTTTCTCAGACTTACTCCTCCAGGGCCACACAGGTTGTGGATGGATAACCAGGACCAGTTTAGGAATACACCCAGACCAGCTCTCGCCCATCTTTTTGACTTCCTCCCTTTTCTTCATCTTCATCAAGTGTCATCCTCCTGAGGTTCTACTATCACCTCACATCCACTACTTCCTTGTAAACCTACACCTCCCATCCAAGCCCATGGTTGTGCTCGGGCCAGAGCGGGGCCGGCCCTGTAGTGTACAGGAATAGTAGAGACAGATGGTACCACAGAGCCAAACAGTTCATTTGCAGCCCGAGCTCTGCATACTCATTTAAGTGTGGTTTCGTGTAGCCTGTGTTTTTGTCTATATCTGCCACAGATGTGGCCGAGCTCTGCTCTCTTTCTGTAGTTAGGCATGGAGATGGAGGGTCAACCCGGATTCCTCTCTTTACTATGAATGGGGCCCTTGAGGGACTCTGCTGGTTTCACCATTAACAACAAACTTAACGTCACTGTCGGCCATTTACAAAGCAGACCTTTATCAGTTATAGAAATGAAGCAGGTGTTTGTAGATGGATTTGTATCATGCAGAGAGACACTCTGTTGCTAGAAGTATTTAGATTTAGCATAAAATACACAACAGTCAGTTAAAAAGTGGTGTCATGGCAATCTGGAATAATCATAAGTGTTTTCACATAAACTAATAAAAGTAAACAGCAGGTGATATTGAGTATATTTCTAGTTTTCGTCATGGCGTTCGATCCACTGTGTATGCTCTGCAAGATGTAAATTGTAAGATATATTGTGGACACACACACATACTGGGGCATTCTGGCTGACATTCATAATTGTGAGTCATTGTCTTACATTACCTGGTGTTTGATTTACTCTACAAAGTGTTGCTCTTGGTTATTCTGAACAGCCCAAACTAGGTTTGATGACTTTATTCTTTTATTTTAAGTTATTTGTAGTTTGAACAATGTGTTGACTATGAGGCTATCATGATTAATGCAAACTCGTCTGCATCAAATGAACAGAACTACAGGTGTAAAATCATCAATACATTTACATTTACTCTTCTGTCAGACGCTTTTATCCAAAGCGACTTCCAGGTGAGGGAATTCTCAAAAGCTTCATTGCAGTAGGAGACCTTGGTGTAAGTACTAAGTACTACATCTACTTAATAAGTGAAGGAGAGAAAGAGCCTACCTTACTGGGCATCCTCAGTATGTGCTCTTTAGGAACTGTATGTCAGACACAGTGGTGATCAGTAGTGGAGCTCCACAGCAGACTGTCCTGTCCCCCTTTCGTCACCCTGGACACCTGACTTCAGGTACGACACAGACATCTGCCTCCTACAGAGGTTCTGATGACTCTGCAGTTGTTGGAAGCATCAGGGAGGAGGACGTCAGAGTATGAGAGGGTGGTGGACAGCTTTGTAGCTCTGCAGAGAGCTCTGCAGCTCTCTACAGGAAGGACCAGAGTCGGCTCTTTTTCCTGCGGAGGCTCCAGTCCAGATGTTTTAGGAGTCTGTGGAGGCCAGAGCCGTTTTCTACACTGTAGTCTGCTGGGGCAGAAGTCTGAGGAGCTGGACCCTCTGCATGGAGTCACAGAGAGGAGGATGTTGTCAGGTTCAACCACAGAAGCTCCTTCCTCCCTGTAACCATTCGGCTCTGCAGGACGTCTCCATCAGTCCTCTGCTGTTAAACTCCTGTCACCTACTGTTGACCCACATTACACTTTTCAATCAGTGACTTTTACATATTACAGTTAACTTACTGTTAATTTACAGTTCATCCGCATGTTCCCACCTCACACATCACTTTTTACTTTTGCATTTGTACATTTTTCTATACTCTTACCATAAATGTATTATCAGTATAAATGTGTAGTAAAGTAAGTAAAGTAAGTACTTTTCTAACTGTGTGCTGGGAAATTGTAACAAAGCAGTTTCCCTGTAAGGACCATTCAAGTTTTTTTGTGATTGTCATTGTGATTAGATGATCTCTGTGGTCATGGTTACAATAATAAATACATGGTTAAACACAGCATTCAGAGTTGGCCCCTCCTCCCTAGCTCAACAAGCGCGAGAGAGATGATAGAGAGTAAATGGACTTGCACTTACATAGCGCTTTTCTAGTCTTACTGATCACTCAAAGCACTTTACAATAGTGTCCATATTCACCCATTCACTCACACATTCATACATCACACTCATACACTGATGGAACAGCCATCGGGGCAATGTGGGGTTCAGTATCGTGCCCAAGAATACTTCGACATGCGGCCTGGAGGAGCCGGGGATCAAACCACCGACCCTCTAATTAGTGGACGAGCAGCAGTGGTTGAGTGAGGTAGAGAGTGAATGAAGAGAGGGAGTGAAGCAGTAAATCAGAGAAATAAAACATTTTTTTGTGTAAGCCAAGAGCTCAATTGTCAAAATGAAAAGTAAGTGGAAAGTAAAGCTCTCAAAGGACTAAAAAAAAAAAAGGCTTTGATTATGATATTATATCATTTGATGCTGTCAATTAGAAATAAAAAAGAGGCAAAGTAACAAAAAGAACAAACATATTTTCATTGGTCTTTTTATGCATCATGTGATCTGCTGCTCCATTGTGATGTTCTTGTGTTGTCTGCAGGTGATGAGCTGGTGCTGCAGACACCACAGCAGAGATAACCTGCCATCAGTCTGATACCTTCCACCCTGGCTCATCTGGAGATCTCCGAGTAGAGTCACACAATTTCTCAGAGATGGACTTGGGGCTGTCGGCCCACACTGGTACTGGTTCCTGTGCCTGGGAGCATTGGTGTGGCTGTTGGTGAGAGACCCACCTAAAGGCCCAGGATGCCAGGATGCCCATCACTCAGGACAACGCCCTCAGCATCCTTCCATTGCTGGAGGAGTGGCAGGGGGGATGTAGCACAAGATCACAGCAGGACCGCAACCTGAGTCAACACAGTTCTGGCTGCAAGGTATTTGATCCACCTCACCCACCATGTGTCTCTATGCCATATTAATCAATATTAAATAAATAAATAAATACAGCTATGAAATAAATAAATTGGGTAATAAATGTAGTAATATATAAATAAACGTAAATATAAATATATGAGTCAATAAATAAATAAATAGCTATATAAATGAATAAATACATGAATTAATGAATAAATGAATAGGTAAAGAAAATAAACAGTTTTATTTTAAAAATGACATTTTTATTTATTTCAGGGGGCTTTTATTTTTTATTTCCATCTGTCCATATTCAAATTAGGGGGCGTGGTTATCTCACAGATTCAGCTGGGAGATTAATGTGGCATTCACTCATTTATTTGTATAGCAATTTATTTTTTTTTACTAATTTATATATTTGTATTCACTTTTATTTATATATTTCTAGATGTATTACCTGATTTATTTATTTCAGGATTTATTTCATAGCTGCATTTAATTAATTAATTAATTAATTAATTTAATATTGATTTAGATGGCTTTCCATATGTTTCTGCTTAGATATGAAATATAAGATGGAACATCGTGGCAGAAAACTCGTGCTCAGTTTCAGTTTCTGAGAGAAGTGAATAAGTGAATAAAACCAGTTACCGTTTTTACACTGGTGTATAACATAGCAATTGAAATATTCAAGCAAACTACAAAAAAGCTGACTTAATTATTTTCTGTAGTAATAGTGATGGAAAGTAACGAAGTACATTTACTGAAATAATCGGATTAATGACAGTCACAAGGTGCATGTACTTGAAGATACTTAAAGTAAAAGTGAGAGGAGTTTTCACAGAGGCCACCAGGGGGAACGTCATGGAGTAGAGGTGTAAACCACGAGGTCCAAACTTTTATACCAAAATAGGTTATGATTTGTTAAGACAATCTGATTAAGTGACCTTTTTATTTTGAAATTTTGAGTCATAAAGCCGTACAAGCTAGCAACTCGGAGGCTACTAGCAAGAATGCTGTCGACAAGAGCATGCTACAGTCAACGAAGTTATTCAAGAGGAGAACAATGGCACACGATCCCACAAAATTCATTGCCGCACTCTGTACGACTTAGTTGGAGATTCTAATGGTCTGGAGGAGCACCCAATCCTGGATAGGGCTCATCGAGCTGCGGCAAAGGGAGAATGACCTTCGAGTTAATTACATCCAGGAGAAGGAGCAGATCCAACTTCTGGCCAGGCAGAAGGCAGTTTAAGGAAAGCAGATCCTCATCTTCCCAGATTACAGAGCTGAGCTAACCAGACACAGAGCGGCGTTCAACAAGGTGAAAGGACTCCTCTCGAGAGAAGAGGGGTTCCACTTTACTTTTTTTTCAATAATATTAGGTCAGTGGGTAGAATTAAAGAGCTTGAGTAAAACGACATGATGTTGCACATTCTTGTAAAGTAGGTGGCGGTATGCACCTTAAAGTTGTTTGCGATCTGCTAGTTAACTCAGAGAAGAAGAAGAAGAAGAAGAAGAAGGAGAAGAAGGAGAANGGAATGTGTCACCTCACTCGTTCCTTTGACCATCTGTACACACAGTTTTTCCAAGTGATCCAAGTTACAGTGAAGTGAAAACAAAAAATAAGTAGAGATATGTAATTTAACATAGAATAAAATAAACAACTTCATGGAGCTTCATTCA